AAATGAAATATAGGAAGTTCTTTCTTTAGGTGGTTTACAGAGAATTTCGGACCTAACTACATTTGAAAGTAGCTATTTTGTTTATGAAGGGCAATACTACCAACAAACCTTCGGAACTCCCATGGGGGCGCCAATAAGTCCAATTTTAGCAACCATGGTAATGGACTATATTGTGTCCAAGACATTGGAAAATCTTGATTTCCAAGTCCCGTTCTTCTTTTTATATATGGACGACTCAGTCACAGCGATTCCGAAAAATAAGGTGAACATGATGTTGAACAAATTGAACTCTATAAACGACAACCTGGAATTTATTTGCGAAGTCCAAAGGGAAAATAAACTCCCATTTTTGGACCTGTTACTCATACAAAATAACAACAAAATAATTTTAAACCTATACAAAAAGCCTACTAGCTCCAATCGAATACTTAATTATCAATCAGCACACCCACTTCACCAAAAAATAAATATTATTAAACAACTTCAGAACAAAGTCTTTAGACTATCAGATAAAAGATTTTGGAAACAGAATATAGATCAACTGAAGAACACCCTATCTGCAAATAACTATCCCATAAACTTTACCAACCGTATCTTAAACCAACAACCCCGCAAAAACGCTAATGGTACCAACACACATGGCAGTTTGCAAACTATCAAAAAATATTACAAAATACCATATGTGAAAGGTCTATCTGAACCCCTCGGAAAAAAACTTGGTACACAGACCGCTGAAGTGGCAATGTACAATAAAAAAACAGTTAAAAATCTTTTTTCCCAAGTTAAACATCCCACCCCTAAAGATAACACCAGTAATGTAGTGTATAGAATACCATGCAATAACTGCAATGTATGCTATGTAGGCCAAACAAAACAATATCTGAAAAATCGCATATCAGAACACAAAAGGGATTGTAATATTACTAAGATAGATAATCCAAAAACAGGACTAGCAAGACATTACTTCGAAACTGGACACCAGTTTGACTTCCAATCATCGACTATCTTAGACAGTCACCCTAATTTTCAACAAAGACTCTTCTTAGAAATGTGCCATATAACGACTAATAAACCCAATGTAAACCTTAACATGGATACACAAAACTTAAGTACAATTTACTGCAACATCATAACCAATCAGTTATAAACCGACCATTCGATTGTTTTCAATTGGTTCTGTTCCCCAAATTAAGTTTTTTAAAGGTGAAATTTGGTGGGGTGGGAATCAACATTATCAATAATTTAGTTTTACGTACCAATGCAGATCGATATGAAAAAGTAGTACCGAAACATCACGGCAAGCAATAGTACCGCTCTTTGGTGTGTGAACTTTTTTGTTTGTTGTTATTGATGAATCGGTCCGAATGATGCGATTCATAGCTTTAATAATCTAGGTAAGGTAAACTTTGGTAAGGTATTTTGTAGATAACAATACGACGTTTTTATTAGTCAAATTAGGTAATTGGTTCTATGTTGTCTGGATTGATAGTTTTTCAAAAATATAATTTGTGAAACTCATTTTACTTATCTCTTGTTATGTAATAGTCATTGTTGAAACTTTTTAAATGTTAATTTCTTTTTTATACGTCATTTTTTAATTTATTTTTTAAACCTTTGTAAATGCTTCTTTTTTGTTAAATGTTAATTTATTTTGTCAGTCATTTTTTAAAATGTTAATCGTTGTGAAATGCTTGTAACGTTCTTTGCATGTTTTCTTTTAGCCTTGAGAATGATGCGGAATGCGTCGAAACGTTGGCTGTTGATTTAGATATTTCATTAAATAAAGTCCAAATAAGCCGAAAACCGACTTTTCATTAACATATTCCTGGACGAAAACCACACTGTGTAATCCTAAAATATAATATTTTTGAAAAATAGGACCAGCATATTCTATGTGGATCCGACACCAAGGTTTCTTTGGAAACTCTCAAGTCTGTAATGGAGGTCTAGGTGAAGAATTTTGAGTTTTAATACAAAATTTACAACTTTTTATTAAATTTTCGATATCAAGATTAATGTTAGGCCACCAAACATATGAACGAGCTGAACTTTTACACTTCACCATACCCAAATGCGTTGCATGGAGGGTTTCCAAAAAAAAGCCCTAAGAGAAATTGGAATGACAACCTTGTGGCCCAGCATTAGGCAATCGTCATTTATAGAAAAACTATTTTTGAATTTAACATAAGGTTTCAAATGTGGCTTTACACCGGAGATTAAATTTAATTGGAATTTTTAATCATCATGGATTAAATTTTAAGTTAGTGTCAAATGATAGTTTATAAAAATCTAACAAAACCTTGCTTAACATGTTGTTTTACATGTATGCCTATACAGGGTGAATCTGAAAGTGAGGCTTTTTTTTTAACGGGATATATATCTCACCAAAATAAGTTGTTTGGCAAAAAAATTGTTTATACAAAAAATTTAAGATAACGGAGTTACAGGTATTTCAAGGTCTCAAGAAGACTCCAGGGTCCTTAACTCGAAACATGGGAGCAGCGTTCTAATGAGAATGAAGGTCCTATCTTCGTCGCCCTAGTCGCCCATACTCATATTTGTCTAACACTGACAAAGACCAGATCAATCGTTCACATGAGAACGTTGTTCCCCAGTCTCAAGAATAGGCATCCATTGAGGCATCCAACTATAAAAAAATTTGTTTACATTTTCTCGAAAAAAAGCCGTTATTTGTCCAGCATAATGAGTTTTATTCCATAATAGGTAATCTACAGTTGCATTATTTCATCAGAAAAATCAATCAAAGACCCTTTCATTTTCAACCTATTAATTTTAATATTCTTAAATACCTGTAACTCCGTTATCTTAAATTTTTTGTATAAACAATTTTTCATGGTCGTTTATCCCGGTTGCCAAATTTTCAAAATGATCCGCTTTTTAGTTCTCCATAAACGTCTAATACGCCATCCACCGTGGGACACCCTGTATATCCGGTTAAAAAAAAGCCTCACTTTCAGATTCACCCTGTATATTCAGAAACACAACCTTTCATCTCAAAATGTTTCTGAAGCATACTTTTTAAACAGTTTACATTATTATTGTTAGTTCCCATTATTAATAAATCGTCCACATAAATCAATAAAAATAAAAAAAGTTTCTCTACATTCTCAAACTTATAATATAAACAAAAATCATTATTGGATCTTACAAATTCTAATTCCAATATAAGACTGTCAAATTTACGGTTCCAACATTTTGGGGATTTCCTTAAGCCATAACTGGACTTATTCAATTTACAAACGGACGTACTGTTTTATCTATTAACCCCTGGTAAAGACATACAGACCTCTTTGTCTATTTCCCCGTATAAAAATGCACCCTGCACGTCCATTTGATAAACTGGTAATCCCAATTTATTGGCAATAATCAAAAACACTATAAAAGTACTCATTTTAGCAACAGGTGAGTATATGTCATAATAGTATATTATGATATAAGTGTATAAGAGGGCATTTAAAGCACGCGCGACATATTTCAAAACACGACGCGGAGCGGAGTGTTTTGTAAGTCGCAAGGGCTTTAAATGCCCTTTTATACACGCATATCATACGCTATTTTTTATTACGAATGCATCATAATCTCAAAAATGTTTTAAAAGTGTTCATTCATTTTGATAAGTAGTAATTTGAATGGCAGGTATGCAGGTAAATATCTAGGTAATGAAGGTAGATCGAACGTTTCTATAGCAAACCTGAAAAGGTAGACGCATCATAAACATCATTTTATGCACGCTGCAGCGTGCGATAATCGTTGATTATGATGCATGCGTAATAAAAAAACTATTACAATTTTGCTGAAAGCCGCGAGCAACAAGGCGAGCTTTGTATTCACCATTACCTTTTATTTTAAAAACCCATTTGCTCTCGATTACCTTTTTATGTACAGACCATGACACTTCACTCCACGCACTATTCTTCTTCAGCACACACAATTCTTTCTGTATTGCTTCTTTCCATTTTTCTGCACAATCGCTATTCATAGCTTCTTCAAATGATTACGGTTCCTCATCCATCCACCCTGGTCTCTTCAATGGTCTGCCTCTTCTGTCTCTCTGCATTTCATCGTCTTCTTCTTCTTCACCTGGAGCCTCATCTTCATTCTCTTATTCTAAATCTGATGCTCGATTTTCAAAAACTGGTTCTTCCTGAATAGGCTCGTTCAGCATATTTTTTTTATTACATATTCTAAAAGAGCGTATTGAGTTTAGCAGTTGTGCAAAATTTCATCATTTTCCGAGCCCTTGTTCATATTTAAATAAATTATCAAAAAGCTCCAAGTTTGGAAATTTCGAAACACGCGGTGGCGTCACTGCATCTCTCAAGTTGGTCGTGTGACGGCCTTTACTTGAGAGATGACGTCATACCATCTCTAAGCGATGAATTTCTGAGGCATAATGTTTTATTATTCAAAGCCGCATAACTTTTTTAATATTTATCCAATTGCGCTGAATTTTTTTTTGTGTGCTATACTGCCCTATTAAGTATAAGAGTCGTATCTGCATTTATAAAAGTTTCAAGAAAATCAGGAAAAAGTATTAATCTTTTTGCCATCGTAAGTATTATAATTCTGGAAATCAAAGTTAACAAGTTGTATAACATTTTTTTCATAAAATTTGAATCACAGACTTTTTTTTTGCAAATTTAGATCTTAATCATGTTTTTGTTAGTTACGACAAATTTGTTTAACAATGAACAACTAAAGTATTAACATGATAACATGATTAGTCGTAAGTGACCAACTTGTATAGAAAAACTACAACACTTCGAGTTAAAGGTTTATTATATCATTGGTTTTTTCAAATAGGGGTATTTGAAATGAGATGTTTAATTCCCAGGAGCCCAGGAATAAACTACTCTATGTAACTTAAACAACATTTTCGGTATTCAACTAAAACAAAATTTCTAATTGTAACTAAAAATAAAAACACTTATGCCTAATAAATTCACAGGAATATTATATCAACTGAGATTTTTATTAATTTACTCGTCTTCTTGTTCAGGATTTTCGGAAACAGGCAAGTTTTTCCAAAAGTTTATTCTAGTAATGGGAATAATTCCACGTAGGCGGTTTATGAGAGTGTCTTTTCTAGCTTGACTTATGCCACGACAGACAGTCTTGCATTTAGGTTTTTCCAAACCATTCTTTTGGTGTTTTGCTACTAAAAAATTTAATATTGTTGCCTCTTGTTGATCAAATTTGCATTTGTAGGATAATGACTGCTTTCCATTTTCAAAATTAACCTGCACCATATCACTCAAATATGGCCGAGGATTTATTTTGCTTAATTTATATTGATAACTCTTGTCTTCCCAATTAAAAAAATTGTTAATTTTCATTTCAATCAATTTCACTTTCGACGAGTTCGCTTTTTGAACGGCATCTTTGTAATCTCCGAAATCATATACTTTTTTCATTTGCTTCAAGGACTTCTCTACCTGGTGATGGAAAGAATCGGCTGACATGAACGTATGCCCAGGTTCAAAGTGTTTCAGAGTTAGAGTGTTTAAAGCGACATCAGCAGAATTTACTAGATATACGCAGAAACTAAAGAAGGTCCAGTTTTTATTTTGCGCTGCACAGTTGTCCAACCACAAAATAATATTTTCAGCATCTCTATTATCCAGAAAAAAAGCATAGAAAGCACTTATGATGTCTTCTTTGGATCGTCCTGATAAGGCTTCGTGCCAAACTACTGCCGTGGGAAATTTTTTGTGTTTTTTTCCTATTGGAACAATGCTTTCATTGAATGCAATGATACGAGGTACGAAAATCACCTCCTTGAACATTTCGCACCGCGGAAGCATAATGACCTTAAAAAAAAATCTAGCAGGAAAAAAATACAAAATAAATATATCTCACCTTCTGAAGATCTGCTGAACATGCCAGTATGTTGGGATTATCAACTTCAGCGTCAATTTGATATTGTTCTCGAGCTGACTTCGCCATTCCTATATGTTTATTCCATGATTTACCGTCGGCGCAGTCATTTCCCAAATTCTTGGAATCGTGATTGGTGCTGCTTTCATGATTTTTGAATGCTGCGCAAGTGAAGCACTCTTCGTGTCCAAGTGCAGCGAATGAAATATTCATTTTACTCACGACATCTCTGTATAAATAGTAGGAAAAATTGATAGTTGGATGTTTTGCCTTAAAGTCATTGTACATCATTACTATGGTAACATCACTAGGAAGGTATCTCCTATTAGGAGCGTGCTCCCTCCTGTAATGCGAAATTGACGGGTTAAAAGACTCTATATGCTGTCTGATTATGGCACGATCTATCTTTTTCGATGAACCAGTACAACCTCGTCGGGATTTTTGTGCCTTTAGCTGTAAGTTAGTAGCGGAAGAGAATGCACTACGAATAATTCGATCATTGTTAGGCAAATATCCAAGAGTTGCCAAGAAAAATATTTTGCATACTTCCTGTATTGTACCACTATCATCTTTGAGCCTGTAGGTAAAACTCATTGACCTTCGTGAATCTAAAGATGCCTTTCTCTTGGTATTTTTCCTTTCTGTCATATTTAACACAAAAGTTTTTTGCTCTAAATCCGTTAATTGCCAGAAATTCAAATTTATATTTGCACGTTGTTCTTCTGAAATTTTTTTGGTACAGCGTTTCTTGCACTTGTCTCCACATGGATCTTTCAATAAATGCTTATTTTTCTTATCTTCGACTTTTTGTTTTTTTCTGCTTTGTAAAGACGTACTAAATCTTCTGCGTTTTCGGAGCTGTCCTGTTTTTGTATATAAACTGGCTTCTCGGTTTTCGGATTGCTCAATTGCAGCACCAATCAAGATATCGACAATTTCGGTAACCAAAACAATAACATTGTTATTGTTAGAATCTGAAGGTATAGCGTTTCTAGGACGAATCACAACATTTTGATGAATAATGATCGAAGGAAGTTCAGGTTCCACTTCTTCTTTTCCTTCTTCAGAACTTGATGTATCAGACGATGATGGGATCTCAAAATCTGGATCATCTTTTTCATTATTTTTTGTTAAGCGTGTTTGAGTCGAGGTTTGAGCATTTTTTTTTCTAAATTCGCCTAATTTAGTGGCCAGCTCTTTGTTTTTCCTTGCCACTGATTGCAACATTCGCATAGATCTGCTATTAATATTCATTATTCTAAAAATAGACTCTATGTTAATAAAAGGATTCACCGGTTACACTATGATATGTTGATCTGATCAAATGTAGAATGACAACTAACTTACTTTCTTTTTAATTCCTATAAAGTAGAAATCACTTCAATAATAAGTTTAAGGCCACCAGCGGCACCAGCTCAATTATTTTGTACAGAAAAACTCAAAACTAACTGAACAGAAGTAAATAAATACTTTTTTGTGGTTATGTACAAGGTCCAAGCGTGAAAATACTCAAACTGTCATTTTGCGCGCCAAATCCGTTGTTAGAACGATTTGTCGTATCTACTCCATTGTTAAGTAAATTTATCGTATGTACACTATGTTAAGATTATTTGTCGTATTTGAATTGAAAATACGACATATAAACTTAAAAATATGCAGTTTGGACAATTATGCTTAACAAACTGATGATAATTTCACATACGACAAAGAAATGATAACATTGTTTGATCACTGATGAACGGTATACGACATTTTCAACTAATAAATAGACGTAAAACCCTGAAGTGATGTGATATACTCGAAAATCTCAAAATCTGCTAAACATGCAGATACGACTCTTATATTTAACACGGCAGTATATGTGAGTAATACTCCATAAAAATATCAAAAAATGTGGTTAATGGAACCTCACTGAACGAGCCTATTCTCTGAGCCACGGAATCTTCATCTTCACTAAGATCCTCTTCATTGTCCTGAATCAAGATCACCTTGTCATTTAGGTCCAAGTTCACTATGTTTCCCTTTTGTTTCGATTCGACCAAGGTTTCTAAAGTTCATAGGTAGCCTGGTAATGGGTAACCTGATGACATGGGTAACCTGATGATGCGTCTGGGGTGCCTTATGGAGATCTGCATTATGTTGAGCCCCCCCAGATGACGTCATAAAGTTATCAGGCAACCTACCTCTCTCAAACAACCTTGGATTCGACATGGTTTTCTAGAGGAATAATTACAACATCTCGATGTGTTTCAATTCTATTTTATCTGGATAAAACACCCTATATTCTTTAACTGTTTCACTGTAACCAACAAATATTCCAATCTCATACTTCGCATCTAACTTTTTTTACGCTTTTCTTTAAGAATATAAACGGATATCTCTGATCAAAAAGGCTTCAAATAATTCGGATTAAACTTTTTTCCATTCCAGCGTTCTGAGGATGTTTTATTCTTTACAGGACACTTTCCTACTCGATTAAGCACATAAACGACTGTGTTGACGGCTTCTGCCCATAAGTTTTTACGTAAGTCCTTTGAGTGGAGCAATGTTCTTGCTGCTTCCACTATGGTATGATTTCTCGCTCTACTCGACCATTTTTCTGGGGAAAGTAAACACACGTCCTTTCATGCTTAATGCACTTTTTGTCCAGAATTAAATTAATGTTCCTATTTGCAAACTTGAGTCCATTGTCAGAACTTAAGACTTTATTTCCAGTTTGATTCTCTGACATTTCCAAAAAGTGAACTATATTGGACTCAGTTTCCTCCTGGTGTTTCAGAAAATAAACTACTCTAAACCCAGAATAGTCATCTTTCATCAAGAGAAAGTACCTTCAACCTCCCAGAGACTCAATTTCGAAAGGACCGCATAAATCAGCGTGAATCAATAATTCTTTCTATAAGCTCTACTAGTGCTATTTTGGAATAGAAACTTATGTTGCTTTCCACAAAGACATGGTTTGCAAGGTTTTTAGTTGTTCAGACAGTTCTGACATTTCGAATTTATAGATTTGAATTTACGTTTTTTAGGAAAAGAAAACCACCTTATTGAAAAGGACGAAAAACTGGAAATGACTCACAATCTCTCGCTGCTCAGGCGGCTTTTCGAATCCTTGAGACTTGTTCTTGTCTGCTGCACAACTCTTTATGATTCACGTTAGCTAACCGCACTGTTCAACTGTTAGGTCATCTACACCTAGGTTTCCTGACTATATCTCTGAATTCTGAATAGCAAGGGTTTCAGAAAATTTGAACTGTTTACTCAATATTCACCTCTCCGAACTGATAACTTGCCTATCTATCCGGCTCGAAGTAAATGGTTTATTAACACTTGCAATGAATGTATTTGATAGAATGCACATATATTACAACTAACTTATTTGAAGATTTACAAGAGCAAGAGCAAATTATGACCACAGATTATTATGACGAATTACAATAATTGACAGATGTTAAAAAAACCTCTTTACTGGTTTTTTCTACACCTTCACAGCCTGCACCTTTTACCTTGTAGGTACCTATTTGCCAAAGTTTCACAACAGTATGACTTTAGCGGGCGACTGTTTCTATTAGAATCCCATTACTGGTTCAGAGTATGACCTTCAGCGTTAACGTCTTTAAGAAGCAAATTCGTTACCTGATTCAACTTTTATGCAGACGCCTGCAAGTCCCACTGTCAATCAATGCAACTTTGGCTATCAAATCCATCATCTCAAAATAGTGATATATAGGTATCTTCAGATTTTTCGATCTAAATCTTTGTGGCTTTCAAAAATTAAATTAATTGAACATATTATTTACTAATATCTATTTTATGCTGTACCGATACACCTGAAGTGAAACGTTATTGCAATCTTGCAATCCGTTGAATAATAGTCAATGGTCAGAGAGGCTCTTTTTATTGCAGCATAGGTTTATTATTATTTCTTATTGCCGAATCTATTAGAAATAAAGAAATAATAAATAATCAACAAGTGGTCATTTCAATTATTCCATGCATCTGTTTAGCTTACCATTATAAAACTGGTATAAGATGTTCATACATAATTCATGATAAAGACAGGGTGGCCCAAATTCGAGCCTAATCATTGGGATCTCGCTCGGAAACCATAAGAGAAACAGGGTCGGTTAAATTATGGAAAAGTTGCGCAATTTCATCATCATCGATTTTCCGCACTGACAGCCGTGCGGAAAAAGTTTTTCCGCACCGTGCGGAAAAACTTATTTTCCGCACGCATATCAGTGCGGAAAATCAATTTTTCCGCACGGCTGTAGGAAAAAATAATTTCACATTCTCATTATCACTTTTTCTTCTCTAAAAGATGGCGGTATTAAATTTGAAATCCAACGTTTCGTTTCTTTGGAATCATCATCAATTTATTTTTTTTAAATACGGACCTGCTTTTTTCACTGTGTTATTGAAATAGCTATTAACCTAACAAGTGCGGAAAATGAATTTTTCCGCACGCGGCTGCCGTTGAAGCCGCCGAGTGTGGAAATAGCTATTTATACAATAAGTTACGAAATGAGCGTCTTTTAGGCACGCGACGTGACAATTGTCCAACGAGGCAAAGCCGAGTTGGACAACACGTCGAGTGACTAAAAGACGTCGTTTCGTAACGTATTGTATACAAGATTTTTTCTACTGGCATTTTATAATAAAAAAACACAATTTTATTTCATGTGAATAAGTCGATTACGCCCAAAATCTTTGTTACCTGCTTTTACTTGACACCTGACACTATTCATGCGATTTTTTTTTCAAGATTCGACATCAATAATTAAAATCCTAGAAAGTAGGTAACAACACAAAGTTCTGTTTTGAGTAACCCAAATGTTCAATTCAGTAATTCCATTTTCAATATTCATAATAAATGCAAAACAAAATTCAGTCTATTTCAAAATATTTTCAAATAAAATCAGGAAAAAATCAAAACTATACGGAAAAAACATAAGTTTCTCGTATTTTTCAAATTTTTTCCTGATTTCATTTTAAAATATATGTATTGAAAAACTAATTTCCTATTCTCATCCTCACTTTTTCTTCTCTACAAGATGGGCGTATTAAATTTAGAATCCAACGATTCGTTCCTCTGGAATCATCATCAATTTATTTATTTTTTTTATCACGGACCGGCTTTTTTTACTGTGTTGTTGAAAAATTATAAACAGTATCGGTTTTAGGATGCCCAAAGATGACAAAATCGCAAATAAAAAATCCAGGTCCGTATTTAAAAAAAGTGAGTTGAAGATGGCCACCTGAAGACAAAACGTCGGATTTTAAATTTAGTAGCACCATCATCTAAAGAGCAAAAAGTGACAACGATGAAGTGATATTTATTTTGAAATTGCTCTTCAAATAAGCTCGGGAAAAAATAAAAACGATTTTACAAAATTTCGGTTTTTTCCGAATATCTCCGGAAGTATTCGGAATCTTTCTAATTTCAAAACGGCATTCTATTGGTCATAAAATTGCGCAACTTTGCCATAATTTAACCGTCCCTGTATCTCTTATGGTTTCAGAGATCCCAATGATGAGGCTCGAATTTGGGCCACCCTGTACCTGATGAAGTATAAATCAATAATAATGTTCAAAACAATTTTAGAATAAAATAGACGTAAGTTTACAGGGTGTCTGGTATATTGATAGGAATATCTCAATGAGTGATAGTTGGGGTCATTTGGAAGCTGACCATATTTCCCTATATTCAAAGTTTCGCCGTTTTTTGAGATATCGCCATTTTTATATACAGGGTGTCCCAGCCGAGAGTGACCCATTTTAAATGCTTATAACTTTTAAACCAGGTGAGCTAGCTACCTGCGGTTTGTGCCATTCGATTTCTCTTGGTCTAAAGTTTTTTCCAGTAGGTTTCAAATTTTTTTGAAACTTATACAGGGCGAGTAAAAAAAAATCCGTTTTTCAACATCGAAATTCTCCACTATTTCTAATGGAACACCCTGTATATCACAACGTCAAAAAAAAGATTAATGTTTAAGGTTTCCATGTACCAATAGACATCGTCCCTAAAACTTGAAGTTTTAGCCGAAAAAAAATAAAAATCTAAATCTTGGTATTTTTGCAAACGCGTGCAACTTCATGTTGTAGGAACTTGATATCACTATGGCAAACAATTTTGTAACTGTCTAGTTAGATATCAATTAAGTTGAGATACATTTTCCAAGAAAATTTAACGAGTTTCAAAGTATTTTCTCTGGAACTCATTAAATAGAGATACCCCAACAGTAACAGTTTGG